ATGGGTACTCCAATTGCCTCACCCTGCGTTCAGCATGGAAGAAGCCAGAGCAGTCTGTGTCCCAATTCCCTATCGGTAAGTTGGGTAACCTCTTCAGAGGATGGTGTGATAAGAATAGGAGGTAGGAATTGGCTAGGTAGTTAGTGTAAAAAGACCCCAAAGAAATATAGCCAGTTTCTTGGTTAAAAGTCAAAATGTCCTTGAGTCTGTTAGCAACATACTCTGTTCCAAAGGCCAAAAATGTCAAAAGTATTTGGGAGCTTGAATCTAATCCTTAAAAGATTTTAGGGTTACTTCTTCAGAGGAGGGGAATGTTAGAGTACCCAAAAGCCCCATAAAAATAAATAAATGAAAGAAGAAAAAAAAAAGAAAAAGAAAAAAGTAATGGGGAGATATGGAAGATGTTGGAAGGGAGGGAGTGGGCATGGATTTGATCAAAACACCTTATATGCATGTATGAAATTCTCAATTAAGTTTTTGTAAAAGTTAAAAAGAAAAAGAAAAAGAAAAAAAAAGAAAAGCAGCATTGGTCAGTAGATTTACAAAACTCAGTGCCAAAAAGCAAAGATTGAGGAGTCATGGACTTCTTTAAACGAGAGACATGCTATGCAAGAGAGAGAGAGAAATAAATGAATGCTTTATTAAGCATAAACACAACAGAAACTCAATGCCATTATAATCTTGACTCAGAGGACTACACACACACACACACACACACACACACACACACACACACACACACACGAGAGAAGTCTCAATAAACAGGACACTAACAACAACTATCCCTGGCCAGCAGGATCTTAAATTTTGCCAGGTGTGGTTGGCAAAACTCTTTAATCCCAGCACCTGGGAAGAAAAAGCAGGTAGATCTCTTGGAGTTTAAGTCCAGCCTGATCTACATAGCAAGTTTCAGGCCAGTCAAGGCTAAATCATGAGACCCTGTCCGCAAGAAACAAAACAACACATTATTTTTATTAAAAAGGTCTTATCACAGTCTGGGTGTGGTGGCACACACCTTTGATCCCAACACTTGGGAGGCAGAGGCAGGCGGATCTCTGTGAGTTCCAGGCCAGCCTGGTCTACATAGTGAGTTCCAGGCCAGCTGGGGCTACAGGGAGACCCTGTTGCTGAGGCTGGCCTCAAACTCTTGGGTTGTGGCATTCTTCTGCCTAAAGCCCCCAGATTCACCCAAAGGAGGTGAAATTAGAGGCGCATACCATACCAAGCACAATGTATAGATTTCTAGTTATCTCGCAGTGAATATAAAAATGATGTAATTACCACCACACATGGTGCCACCCACCTGCAATCCCAACATTCAGTAGACTGAAACAGGAGGATTCTGAGTTTCAGGCAAGCCAGGGCTACATATTGACTTCTAGGCCATCTCAGAACACAGAGACCACCCTCTAAACAAGACAAACAAAAATTTCCAACTGTAATTTGTAACCACTCATTACATGCTAGTGAAACTGTTGAAGTACTTCCCACATTTACCTTTTTCTTTTTCTGAAGCACATGGCTAGGTAGGAGTTGATGAAGCTGCTTTCTTTTTACATGCATTGCTGCAATTTTCATATCCACCTCAAACATCTTGCTGTTTATTGCTTGCCTATAAACTATACAACCAGAAATTGTTAGACAAAATAGAAACATTTTCATAATGGCAGGTTTGCATTCACTGAGGAAAAAGTATTCTAAGTAGGGATTCTTTTCCCATCACCTAGCCCTAATGGGGTATAATCCAATGCCCAGACAAAAAATGCATATAATGAGTAAAAGAAAAACTATACCAAATATTTGAGCGCAGCAACTTTTTTAGGTAGTGCTCAAAGTACTGTATGTAAAGAATAACTGTAAGAAACACCAGAATTGGAAGGATTCTGTAAACTGATGCCTATTTGCACTAGCAGCATAATTTGAAATTTTAATCCCCGTATATTTACAACACATGCAAAGTAAAAGTCAAATTACTTAAACTATACCTAAAGATACCTTTACAAGAATATGCAAGGTGGCTGGTGAGATGGCTAAGTAATTAAGAACACATTTGCAGAAGACCAGAGTTCAGTTCCTAGCACCCATGTCAATCTATAACTCCAATTCCAGGGGATCTAATGCCCGCTTCTGGCCTCCATGGGCACCTGCACTCATGTGGAATATCCCCACCCACAGAGACACATATAATTAAAATATATAATCTTTGAAAGAAGACTATGTAAGGTAAAACATGATGATACATGTTCTGTCATGAAGAATAACTCAAACATCAAGGATCATAGGTACAAAAAGAAGATGCTATAAATAAGTACTAATTATTTAGAACACAGAAGCTCAAAATAAGAAAATTCAAGCTGGGGTCATTGATGCAACACCTATAATCCAAACACTTCAGTCAGAAGGCAGGTGGAGCAGGAGTTGAAGGTGACCCTTAGCTACATAGTGAGTTTGAGGCTAGCCTTTGCAACATAAGAAAAAAAAGGGGGGGGAAATTCAGTCAATTCATACAACAAATACTGGCTGAACAGCTCTACTGAGACTGTATCGCAGTAGCTAGAGATATAGCTGGGACAGAAGCACAAGAGCTGGAGTGCGTAGCCAAGAAAACGGAACCAACAGAACATAGAATATGCTGTCAGATGGTGGTTCAGCTGCTGGACAGGAGGTTGGACCTGAGCTAACATCTGACTGAACCTAGGCTACAGAGCCAATGCCAGAACGACTGAGTTACAAAACAAAAGGCTATCTCAAAAACTAAAAACAACTGAATATTTTAATAGATCTTCTATATGAGTGTGAGGAAGCAAGATGAGAGTGCTTAGTCTGATAGCGTTACAGGGAGAGCAAACTCCAGGAACCACATGCTGAGTAGAAAAGCCTACCTGAACTTTAGAGGAAAAAAAAAAAAAAAAAGAGGAAAATCCACACTTCCTCACCCACAACTCCAAAGCCCTGAATTCCCACAGAGACGTTCTCAAAGAATACCATCAGAACTCACCCAGCAAACCAAGTCCTAATCTGAACAGCAACACTCTGGCCCTTACTACACTGTTATCCTAGCATCAATAGTGCCCTGCAGACTGTTATGTGATTATCAAATGAGGTTTCACGCCCTGCTGAGAATATTTCCCAACTTCAGTCCCTTTCTGGCCCCAAAATGGCAATGGAAATCAGACAATGGATTATGACCTTTTTAAAAAAATATATTTTATTTATTTTTTTATTTTATGTGTATGCATGTATTATCTGCATGTAAGTAAGTGCACCTGTGTCATGCAATGCCTGCAGAGGACTGAAGAGACTTTCAGATCCCCTAGAACTGGAGTTATGGACAGTTAGCTGCCATGTGGGTGCTGGGATTCGAACCTGGCAGTGTTCTTAACCACTGTACTATCCCTCCAGGCCCTGGATTATGACCTTTTAACAGGAGGTGAGGCTAGAAGGCCAGAATGAGGTAGCTAGGCCGCATAGAGGCCCACAAATCACAAGTGCAACTTGGCATTCCTTCTGAGTGAACTAGGAGACCATTAATAAGATCACTGGGAGCCTAACCCATGACTTTTTTTTTGGAGACAGGGTCTCCCTGTAACTCCAACTACCCTGGAACCCACTATGTTGACCTGGCTGGTCTTGTCCTCAGAGATCCATCTGCCTGCCTCTGCCTCCCAAGTGCTATGAGTAAAGAAGTGCACCACCACACCCAGCTCCCATGTCTTAGAGACATTTGGTACCTCAGACAAATGGCTTGCCTCAAGGAAAACAACTATTTAAAAACAACAGCAACCAAAAAACCCATAAATTTTACTACTCAAGACATGGGCCATCACAGGAGCCTATGATGACCCAAGTTAACTCCCGTGGCAACTATTCTGGCAGGAAGCAACACAGTCCCCTCGGTGGGAACACGCTGCTGCATTCTTGTCATGCATTTCAATGTGTTCTGTCTATGTCTTTGGTAACTTTCCATGGTTCCTGCTACTGGCCCTCCATACACTGTTTCACAAAGCACAGACTGCTCTTAAGTGACAGACTACTAAGGAGTGAACAGCTGGCGGCCTATATAGAATGTCACTCTACTGCACAGAGGGAAAGATTCCACCAGGTAGAGCAGAGCAGAAGAGTACTGGACTACATCATGCTACTCACAGGACACAGGATTTAAAACCTGTGAAATTCTTAACTCTAGAATTTTGCATTTGATATTTATAGTTTATGGCTGACACTGAGTGACCAAACTTTGGAAAGTGAACAGCAGAAACCAAAGATTACCATATTCTTTTCCTGTTTCTCTTCTATATTACAATTAGTATATGAAATTAGCTTTTTAACAAACTGTCCCTAATTTTTTCCTCTCTTTTTAGTAGGTAGGTTAAATTTATTAAAATATTAAATCAGTTTTCATAAAGGAAAACTCAGTGGACAAGCAAAAATGCTTCTTACTGACTTTTTCTAAAGTGGGTGCTAGGCATGTTGGCGAGAGAACAGACTTAGTTCCCAGAAAGATGCACAGATGTCCCCATAAGCATTCACCATTTCCTTGAATGTTAAACATCTACACAGTGGTCACAAAAGAGACAACTATATCCACCACTTTAAGGCTTTAATTAAAACAAATCATCTGCTATCTAAGGATCCAAGGTCACCTAATGTGTAGACATAACCATCCTGTTTCCTGTCTGTGAATTCATAACTTAAGTCTTACTTGATATATATTTAACCCATGTTAAATGTCTTCAAGTTGCCAAAATGTCTGCTACATTAATTTCTAAGGTTTACGATTACAGTAGTCAGACATAGAGAGTTATATACAAGACAGTCTAACAGGTATGTCTAATTTCAAAAAGAATTGTCAAATCCTATTTAAAATGGCTCCATCTAACTTTAAGGCCTAGCCCAATGGATAAAAGCATTTATAAATTAAATACTACTGAAATCATCAAGATTATTTTAATGATCACTGTTCAATACTCAATTACTGTAAATATCACTAGTTACTATGCACATCAAGAAAATGGCAAATGTCATGATTCAAGTGAATACATACCTGTATCTGTGAAAGACTGAATGTCATAAGTGAGATCAACACTGAGATTTTCAGAGTTTTCTGTTTTTTTAAACACTAACCCAATCACCCACATTGTGCGAAATTCTTCCCTGCAAAGAAAAACATTATCACAGCTAATCAGGAAACAGAAAATCATAGCTGTCAAAGCTGTTGATAACCTGAACAGTGCACACGTGGGAACAGACCAAGTCCTAAGTGCAAACCCTATCACAACTTCTATCCTTCCTCATACCTGCCATGGAGCTGCTACCTATAAGCAGAGACTTCCAGACACACACTCTGCTTTCTACGTTTGTCTACGTGTTCAAAGTAATAAAGAGGAAAAGAATAATTCTTTTTAGAAAAACCTGGAAGAAAAAAAAAAGATTGTCTAAATATGAAAATCTGGGTTTTCTAAATACAAAAATCTAAGGATAAGCCTTGTGTGGTAATACATGCCTGTAATTCCAGCACTCAGGAGGCTGAGGCAGGAGGATCGCCAGTTCAAGGCCAAGAGTGGGCTATACAGCAGGACCTTATTTCAAAAACAAAATTCAAATAATTCCTTTACATGATTCCAAAATATAATCATTTAATCAGAATATATATGTCTTTTTGAGGCAGGGTCTCCCTGTAGCCTCAGATGGCCTGGAGTTCACTATGTAGACCAGGCTGGCCTTGAACTCAGAGATCCGCCTGCCTCTGCCTCCGGAGCGCTGGGATTAAAGGTGCGAGCCACCACGTCCAGCTTAATCAGAATATTTTAAAATATTGCCAAAGGTGAGTAATCCTTCAGATCTTTCCAATCTTTCTAAGTTATACTATCCTAATCCTCCAAATGCCAAGAAATTATAGTCTAGTACCAAACAATACTAGAACAACAAAATCATCAATTGCTATGTAAGACCCTAAAAGAAAAGGGAATCTGCTTTCATTTGCCAATCTGTACGATCGTCAGGACCCACCATAAATCAGGTATTTGTCAGGTCAAATTAAATACATTTCCTTCCTGGTGGCTCACGCCTTTGATCCCAGCACTCGAAATCTCTGCAAGATAGAAACCAGCCTGGTCTACACCGTGAGCTGAGGCAGTTAGACCCTGCTTCAAAAAGACCAAAAAACAAAACAAGCAGTCCCTTAAAATAAAGAGTAAAGACTGATGTTTGATATAGCAGCTATGCTTACAGCTACTGTATAAAACTGAAGGAATGTTAAATACTCAAGGGGTCAGGCTTGGTGGTGCACCTTTGATCCCAGCAAACTGAAGGCAGAAGCAGGGGGATCTCTGTGAGTGAGTCCAGGCCAGCTGGAGCTACAGGGAGACCCTGCCTCAAAAAAAAAAAAAAACCCTCAAAACAATATTAAAACAGAACTACAAACTGTAGCTTCTGACAGACAATCCTTAGAAACTATCACTAGCGAACATAATTTATTTCAATGCTAATGTGTCTCAAGAAAGTCTTCAATGTTTTTGATCAAGAAATACTAAGTTATAAATTCTAAATCAGTATTTGGCAAAAGACATATAATCTACCCCCAAATGCTGAACTACATACAGCGGGAATTGACAACTAAGGCACACTTCATTCAAACAAGGTAACAAAAGATATCCCCAGGAATAAAAGGGAATCAGCAAGTGAAAACCAAACACCTTCAAATATACGTCAAAAATGATCTGAGGATCAGAAAAAGGTAAGCTGCAGACATATAACAGGCAAAATAGCAATGCCAGTTAGACAATCTACGTATAGGAAGGCTCAGTGGTACACACCTGCATTCCCAAGACTCCTCAGGCCAAGGCTGAAGGATCACAAGTTCCATGCCAGCCAGAGCTACAGACCTTGCTGCAACACAAAAACTAACTGCCTATGAAAGCATCCATGAGAAAAGTTGAAAGGGATAGAGAAAGGTTAATTAGCAAAGTGCTTACTTGTCAGGATTTTCTTTGGGGGCTGGAAATGACTGGGGATTCACGTGAGCCAGTGTGATAAATTCATTCTTCTCCAGGCTTCCAACCAGGATACGGATTTTTGATTCCACCAAACCTACCCTGAACAAATGTCACTGAATATTAATGGTAGACTCTACTAAAGAAAATTCAAATAAATCAAGTTTTCATATACAAAGGTAATATAAATATCATATGTAACTTAAACATACCAAGGCAGTTCAACTGACTGAACTAATCCCCCCAAATAAAATCAGAAAATTTATGATTGACCTAAAAATGCCAAACTTGGTTTAAGGAAAAGAGAGAACTAGGGCATACTTCATCAAAACAAGGTTATGAAAGATCCCCAGACATAAAGAAAAACCAGCAAGCTAAAACCAAACGGCTTTAAATACATAGCCAAGTAAGATCGGTGAGTCTTTAGGAAGCAAACAGAAAAAAGCTGCATAGAGATGGATGCCCCCGAGTCTAGGCCACCACCAGAGTTGTCAGGCTCCACTGCAAACAAACCACAGCAGAATTCTACAGCCTCCTCCCCTCTCCTGGGTTCTGTGCTCCTGGTTCACCTCAGACCTAATTTTGTTGGTAAAGTCTGATATTTTACTCACCATTCTAGGTGCTGTTTTTCTGTTGATGCACTTGCTAGAAGTACAATATAATGCCTTTGAAGATAAAGACAACATGCTATTTATTTTATTTACTTGAACTGTGCTGGATATTAAAACCATAATGTAATAAGCTTCATTACATTTACAGATCAGCATCAGTTTAGCAAGGAGGGGTTTGCAACTCAGTATGTACATGAAATCATACAAGGTAAATTTCTTATCTTTTAACTACTGCCAAGTTTAATCTTTCTGGGGAAATAAAAGCTATGAATAATTACCAATAAGCAGCTGAATTTTCAAGGCTAAGCAAACATTAACTGATAATTTTGTTCAATACTCCAGAAGTGTTCTACCTATAAAATTAAAGAGATTATCACAGAAATACAACCTATCAAAAGAAAAATGTTTTAACAGAAACCACCAAAAGAGTTCTAAGCACAAAAATAAAATCACTTGGCCTGGGCTTGCAGAGAGGACCTAGGTTCGGTTCCCAGCACCCACATGGCAGCTAACAACTGTAACTCCAGTTTCGGGGATCCCATGCCCTCTTCTGGTGTGGGCATTGTACAACACTTACATACATGCAAGCAAAACATTATCCACAGAAAATAAAATTTTAGAAGAATTAAAACAAAAAACAATCACTAAGCCACATAACAGTTAACTTCAAAAACATCAAAAACAACATCAGACACATCAAGTTTTCTAATTAATACTATATGGTACTGCTGGGTGGATCTCTTTGAGTTCAAGGCCAGCCTGGTCTATATAGTGAGTTCCAGGACAGCTGGGGCTACAGGGAGACCCTGTTTCAAAAAGACCAAAAAAAAAAAAAAAAGAACACTATGGTACTGAAAATTGAATTGAATACTGGAGTTGGGCCCCACACCTCACCCAAATTAACAGTATAAATTCTGTAACAGAAACACAACTATTACTGAGAATAAAATTTCTGATTTCTGTTCAGAATTCAATTCATTTTAAATACAGAATACAGAAAAGCTAAAAATTTTTTTTAAAAAGTCATTATGACCAAGTATCTACCTTTTATGACTTTAAAAGCTATTACAACTAAATTACTACATGATTCATTGTCCTTACACTAATGAAGTTCACTTTAATAAACCAATCAGCAATATTCATTTTATAAGTGCTATAAGCAAAGTTTCACATAAAAATTTTACCTCAAAAAGCACACTGACATCATTACTTAGTATAGACACTAGACGGGAAAGTACCTATATGGTCTTGTTTTCTAACCTGAAAACTTTCTCACGTTTTCCAATATTTTGCAAAAGATGTTTCTGTTCAAAAGCAAAAGAGCCTGAGACCCAAACAAAACTACCAAACAGTTCCAAAGATTTTTGTTTTAAAGGATAATTTCAGGACATTTTCAAAAGACTCTGATGGATTTCAGCAATTTTTAAACCACACTCCTTCCAAATAGTCCATCTATTTCATTTAAAAGATAAAATTTAATTCTTTACAGGTTTGCAACCCAAGACAGTTCTAAGACTTATATATCACCTGTAAAATGGAACAGTACTTTTCTTACTGGAAAAAGTATCATGAAATTCAACTAAATTATCTTCAAATGTTTATAAACTAGGTAGAAGAAAATACACAAAACCCAGGATGTACATCTAAATGAGGTTATGTGTCATGGATAGCTGTGTTGTCATGTACTCCAATTCCACAGAAAAAGTGTTTCCTTTACTATTTGGTCAGCATTAGACAAACCAAACCAAATACAGACTGAGTAGTAAATAGTCACATAAAAGCACTAAAAGTTCATGTATTTTGTGTACAAAATGACTCATACTAAATGCCCTAAATTAAATGAAACAAACTCCTAACACACTCAGCAATCTGATTTCTGGGTTTGTGAACCATTAAAATGAATGAACTCATTATGGAAAAAAAGATTTAAAAAAAAAGTGCTCAGCTAGGCGTGGTGGCACACGCTTTTGATCCCAGCATTAGGGAGGCAGAGGCAGATGATTCTCCGCGAGTTTGAGGTCAGCCTGGTCTCCCATAGCCAGTGCCAGAACAGCTGGAGCTACAGGGAGACCCTGTCTCAGAAAGACCAAAAGAAGAACAGCGCTCTCACAAAGTGTAATAACATTAACAGCCGATAGCCAATATAAAAATCAGGCATGCACAGGAAACCTCAAAAATGCCAAGCTAACTTTTACACAGCATAGGGCTTCTAACTCATCTTCACTGTACTGTCAGGATGGACGATTTACTGTTGCTGTCGTTTCAAGATAGGACTCTCCTTCCTCCACCTCCCAGGTGCCAAGTCAAAGCATGAGTCACTATGCCCAGCTACGATACTTTTCCCCTTATACTCCTGAAAAATAATATTCTGATACCCTGTGTCATCAACAAAACATTAAATGATGCAGCACAATACTTTCAATTTATACAGATAAATAATCCATTTGCGCCTAACTTTACTAGCCATTCAGATTTCAATTCTGAAGCCTACAGTTCAATTTGATTCTTTGGAAAATCCAAGGGAGGAAAAGTTTCTCCTTTGTGTAACATTTATGCACAAATGCACGTACATACATATATAGGTTAAATGCAATATGGATTTATATTGAGGATAAACATTAGGCAACCACATTTAAACAAATCTGATTTTAAAATGCAGTAAATAGGCCTTTAATTCCAGCACTCAGGAGGCAGAGGCAGGCAGATCACTGTGAGTTCAAGGCCAGCCTAGTCTACATAGCAAACTCCAAGCCTGTTGAGGCTAGAGACCCTGTCTCAAGCTGAAAGAATTTTACATGAGTCATTAGAAAAACAATGACTACTCTAAGAAATTAAAAATCTCAACTTAATTCTCCAAAAATCTACCAGAGCTGGTATTCAACTTCCATGGCCACTCTCTGACAGAACACAGAAAATCAAATGTATTTCTAAACTATTTTGCTGATGCCTGAGATGTGACTGATATCCCTCCCAGCTGCCATATCAACTAGTTCAAATGCCTCCACGAAACACTGAAGTGTATACAGCTGTTATTACCTTCTCCTTGAAACTATGTTTCCCAAAACATATGCCCTAAATGAACTAAAATCTATGTTAAAAAAAAAAAAATGTGGGGTTGGGAACATATCTCAGCTGTTAAGAGTGTTTCTCTATGCAAAAAGTTCTAAGACTAACTCAGTTGTTTTATTTCAAAATAGTATTTACGGGGGGAGGGGGCGGGGGGGAGAGCATTCTAGAAGTAGCTTCCTGGCCATTTCATCTCAATACTTTACCTGGGTAGATTACAGCTCAGATACCAAGCACTGAAAGAAAAATCTTAGTCAAAAATCCTTACAATTCTTTCTGCAATTCATAACCAAGGGTTATAGTTTACTATTTAAGGTTGGGGTTTAGGGGTGTGGAGGAGAAAGGACTCATGTGTTCCAGGCTGGATTTGAACATACTATAAAGCTCATGATGGCCTTGAATTCCTTCCTGGTCCTCCCACCACCACCACCCAGTGGTGGGATTACAGGTGTGCTCCACCACACCCAGCTTTTTATACAAATTTTTAAAGTTAAATTTTATATATAATTATTAAAATAATGATGGTTCACTTCAGGGAATATGCTGATTTCCTTAGAATCTCTCCCCGTTTCCTGGTGAGGCATATTGCCTGAGATGAGTATTATTCACATTTCCTGATGCCCATGACTTATTACTTGTCACTTACCAAATTTAGAATCTTAAAAGACAAAAAGTCTTAAAACTTTTAAAATTGGGGCTGAAGAGATGATAGCTCAGTGGTTAAGAGCACTGGCTGCTCTTATAGAAGACCCGGGTTCAATTCCCAGCACCCACATAGTAGCTAACAACAGTCTGTAACTCCAGCTCCAGGAGATCCGACACCCTCTTCAGACCTCGATGGGCACTGCACATGGATGCACTTACATACATGCAGGCAATACATTCATACACATCAAATAAGAATAATAAAAAAATCTTAAAAGTGTACAGAACAATGCTACCACTTGTCCAAGGCAAACTGACAACTCTTTCTGGAAGACTGAGTTCACATCTGGGACAAATGAAATGTCCTGTGAATCTCTCCTTCCAGAAGAACAGTGTACTGCACACAATTTAAAATCCGAGGTACAGCAAAATGTGTATTTTCAGGGCATGCTTTAAGCAAATCTAACCAACTTTTAGTTATAGGCACACTACAAATTCCAATTCAGTTGTACCACTAGTCCTTGGAATATTTCACATGGAGATATTTAAAGCACTCTAATCTATGACTAGCTTCCATAAACTGAATGACACGTTCTCTTTACCTTATAGGACATTTGTGCAGAACACTTAAATCTTCCAAGATACTCAGGCAAAAATTAAATATTTATGAAATAAATGTGTTGCTATATCTTGCTTAGTTGTTTTTAGTAACCTAAAAATATTTGACTGCCTCAAGACCCAGAAAGAATACTAACAATCTGTCAGCCCAAGACCTTATAGATACTATATAGTGGACCCAAGTTTAGTTAAATCCATTTTTTAAAAGAAACACTAGGTGACTGGAGAGATGGCTCAGCGGTTAAAAACACTGGCTGTTCTTGCAGAAGACCTGGGTTCGAATCCCAGCATCCACATGGCAGCTAACAACTGTCTGTTAACTCCAGTTCCACTTCTGTCTTCGGTGGGCATTGCACGACATGGGTGCACTTACCTACATGCAGGCAATACGCATACACATAAAAAAAATAATAAAATGTTTAAAAAAAAAACAAAACACTGAACAAGCCTTAAAAAAAAACCTCCTAAAGTGAAAAGAAAGAATTAAGCATGTGCTTCCATCCTTCCTCTCCACTTCCTCTGTTTACCACGTGAGAGGAAAAGGAGAAAGAACTGTACTGCACTTAGGAGTTAAGAGGTGATGCTATTCTTTAAGACCTCTGCTCTCCTCATACGTAATTACAGCTCACATATGTTAAGTTTTTAAAAGTGTTGGCATGTATGTTTATAAATGTTCAAAGGTCACTTCTTCAACAATGAAATGAAAACAATTATTGCCAAATGGAAAGCAAAATTTATGAATGAGTAGTAAAAGCATTCCAATGCTATGCGACTTAAAACTTTTACTGACAACACAGTCCTCCCAGAACACAACAATTAAACTGGCTCCACTGTTGCTTTTTCATGCAAGATACAGAAACAAAACACAGAGACATCAGGAAGGTCATCATTCTTATTTTTAATTGGGGAAAAGTATGAAGTAACCTTGCTTAAATTGTTAACAAAACACAATTCAAAACAAGATCAAATGGTCAGGAAAAGTCTCAAACATTAAAGTAAAAAATTTAAGTGGGACTTCGGTAAATTTTCAGCTCAGGGCAAAAACAAGTTTGAGTCCATATTTTGATTTTTTTTTTTCTTTCTTTAAGTAAAGTTTAATGTAATTTAATTTTTCAACACGGCACAATTAACGAGACTTCTAACCTCTAAGGTATTAAGCCATTATATTATCATTAATAAAAATGACCCCCACTTAAATTCTAAACTATTTGCAGAAATATTTAAAGGGCTTATCACTGTGGAAACGGTAGGCCAAACATTTAATCAGCCAAATACTGATAGGTTTATGTATATTTTTAAAGTATCTTAAGTTTTCAGGATTAAATGTAAAAACTTAGTGTCTTAACAAAGCACCCTAACTATAGGTTTTGAGAGATCACCCATTCGCTAAGGTGCACAGATTTACTGCTTTTGTAGTAACTGAAAGACCCAGATGCTACTAAGACACAGTGGGAATTCGGTTAGCTCAATCAACAAGACTATCAGGGTGACACACTATGTTGTTCATTCCTTGTGAGAGGAAGAAAATTTCTAGACTCTGAAAGTAAAATCCAAAGCTGCACTAAGGAGAGGTATCATAAGCTACTGTTACACCATTACTTAAGAAGAACATGTCTGACATGCCTTAAAATACATACTTGTACTTTTGAAAGAAGTTTGGAGCTTCAAAAAGTTTGGACCACTCTGCCTTACTCAGCAAAATTTCATCTGTGATAGCAAGACCTAAATTAAAAACATATTAGAATGTTTGTATGCTTCAGCCTGGCAATCTAGAATTGTAATCATTTTAAACATACCACCATGCATTCACTACAATTCTAAATAGTACTTTTAACAAATCCAAGTTTTAGTTTCTGGTCTTAAAAGCATATTCTTACAAAAGCACTGGGGAATTTTTTGAGAACCATATTCCTGGTAAAGTGTCATTACTCTTAAAATGTCATACTCACAGAAAAACTTACTCAAAATTGAAGTATTGTCATTACCTAAGAAAGAAAGTTCTCCCACATGCTGTTTCTTACCTTTCTAAAAACAACTTAGCTGCTATTTCTAAAGGGACAGAAGCACCCCCATTAAAAGCTTCATTCAGGAAAGCCTAGGACGTCCAATTTAAAGGTCACAATAGTACAGCGTTTTCCAACTGTCTGCCTTTAGCCATTCTAACTCCATCCCAACTACTATCCTCAAATACCAACTGCCAGTAGCAATACCTAGAAATTTACCAAAAACTTGGGAGTTAAAAGTCAAGGACCTTCTCAAATATGCAGTTTTGGTCCTAACCCTTCTCTAAGGCCTTCCTAAGAGTACAAAGCCTGCTAAGCACTCTTCATGTCCCCACGAAGACCAGGCGATGCTAATTACCTACAAAGCAATAATATAGCCCATAATGACCCAGTTTTTAAATGTTGGTTCATCTTCCAATATAAACTGCAATAAAAAATAAATGCCCGAATCCAGTTTGGCGATTCACCAATCAAATCACATAGTAACTACTTGGTGGGTCTACAATGGCAGACAAGTCCTTTGTGTATAAAGCAGAGCAGAAGCTTAAACACTTACCTTGTTTAAACTCCTCAACCATGACCATCCGTGTTGAAACGGACACATTGTAGGTGGAGTTCTGTTGTGGGTATGCTGGTGTAATTATAGGCATAAGATGGTACCTATCACTGGGGTTTACCTACATACAACAACAGCCAATCAGTCTCTTCAAGTATACATGCAACAGACACTTGGACTTTCTACCCCTTGTTAAACTGAACCAATGACTAAATTTAAATCTCATTCACAGCTGGAGTTGAGAAAGAAAAACCATGTAAGGAAATTTTATAGGAATTTCTTCCAGAATGAAAGATCTGGTCTAAACTAAGAGTCTGTCTCCATTGTGGCACATGACCACCTTGGCACAGTACTATGTGCACCTGCTGGGCAAAACCGAAGCAAAGCAGAAAGCTCTACTTGCAAACCTTTTGTTTTTCTTTACTCAGCAACATAAATGAGGGTGACTGCACAGTGAGACTTTAAAAAATGTTCTTATAAAACTCATTTTAAGCAAGATAGGACTAAGCGTCCAACCTTTAAATTATAAGGAACCCAAGCTTATTAGCATATGATAAAACTCATCTAGGTTAACTTCATTCTATAAGATAAATGGGATGAAATAAGAGCTACTAATCCCTATGCTAAAGTGGTTTATTTCCACAAAAGAAATTGTAAATTCTCATCTTCCATTAAATGCCTTGAGGCTCAGAAAAATTGAAAACAAAGTTTGATGTAGAGTTCAACAGAACTTAGAAGTTTTTGATATTGTAATAAAGATAAATTAAGAAAAACTTAATTCCAAAAGTCTGTTTTATTCAAATTTAAACCTTTTTAATCAATTAATAAACTTCTTGTTGCTAATACCTAAGAAGTCTAAGCAGTAAATGCCGAACTTCAAGAAGCAAAATGGAAGCTCTTCTTTAGCTTAACCACATTTCTGCCATCTCTGAGTGTCTAAATCAGTCTTTACAACTACTGTATGGTTATCAAAATAAAACTGCTCAGAAGTTTATCTGCCAAATATAAACACTAAGCGTTCAACAGCTTTCTACAATAACCCCATTTTAACAACTGAGATCAAATAAAAAATACAGGGATTTTTAGTATCCTTTTATTACATTTTTAAGCACAAACACCCACACAACTTTGACTTACAAGGTAGTTCTATATAGAATAAACTGTTAGTGAAATCTGCATTAACTATGTACAATTAATGTGGTTTACAGGATACATCATTATGCTTCTCACAGCAGAGGACAATTAGAGATCAGGATCTACAATAAAGTGTAATATGGGGATGTCCACTCGTTTGTAAAAACTGGGCGGTCTCCTTGGAGTTTAGCAGATGACTCTTGTTATCACACAGTGTGAATTTGTAGGGGAAAAAATAATACACTAACCCTTGGGTCCCATACAGGCAAATTAAGATTGCATTCTTCAGGCTGTTTCAATAGCACTGGATTTGGCCATTCCCTGTTCAAAAAGATTGTAGCACTTGATAAGACTATTGGATATCATCATCTAAGCGTACTTTGTCAAACATACACCATTTGTGAACGTGGCCCTCCTCCATTCACTCTGGTACACATAACCTCCATTCCTTTCTGTTGACTAAGATTACTCCAAACATCTTTCCTGTATGAAATTAAACCACTTGATAGCTTTCTCAAACTGATGTCAAATACCTGTTCTGCCATCAAAGAACTGATAAAATACTATTTAAAGCAGCAGCATCTTAGGACATCTAATGTGTTGGCCTCAACCATGAACAAGACAAAACCCCTTTAAAGAAAAAACCTGCTTCACACTAGCTCCAAAGACACATAAGAACTTACTTCTCATTACAAAGTTCTAGGAATAATTATAAAAATCAATTAGGTCAATTTCTCTCTTTGTGGCTTATTTGTGTATCAGCGTTACTTCAGTCAGGTATGGAGGAGATGGATGAATAGTGTGTGCCACGCTGAGTACCAACCAAACTAGCCTATTAAAAATACTTTGTATGCGTGTAGCCTCAGGAGAAATTCTGATCTTTACTCTTATCACACATTATTATATATGAATAAAATGTACTATTAAGTGCAAAACAATATACACTGGAAAGTGGGTCACAGCTATAGATTATAAATTACATCAAAGAATTCTTTTATAAAATTATTTTAAAACTTAGAACAATTTTTTCTCACACAGAGAGTAGGAGTTGGTAATAGGAAAAGACAAATATATAAATGTGATTAAAAACCAGGAACCCTAATTTTTGCAGTCAAGGTCACCACCACGATAGGGCAGTATCTTGAATTTTTCTAAAATCAAGGTTGATAAATATGCACATCTTGATTTGAGAAAGCTTTGACAAATCTCTCCTGGATTAATGACTAATCTCAAAGGGCCCAGCCACTACATTTGTTTTTCTGCCACTTAATTTGTTTCTAAAAAGCTTCTTAATAAAAGCGACACATTTAATGCTTTGCCAATGGCAAGTGGACAGCTGAGAATAAAAAACAAAACACAGTGACAGACACAGTGGTTTACGAGTTCAGATGCACCCAGAGTGAGAGCGGTGGTGTGTAAACTCCCACCCGAAGTACTTGATACCCTAAAACATTATACTAGTTACAATTCAGTTTATTTGAAGAGTAGGCATCATAAGCACAACAGAATCTGTCTTACGGTCCTGGCAAAGATAGGGAAAACAAATGGAATTTAGGTTTGCCATTGTATATAGAATGTGACTTCCCAACACAGTGGCTGTTTCTTGAACTAAAATAGACTGGAGATTTTGGGTGGTACTGGTGACTGAGTACAAGGCCTTCGGCATGGCAGGCAAGCACTCTAAAACTGAGCACTCTATACTCTCAGCCCACACGCTAAAATTTGAATCTGAAACCAGCTGTAGAAATGTCATAGAAATAAGACTAAACTTCAGTGTCTACAATCAATTTTATTGTAATATAATCTAAAAACATACCATTTAGAAAATACCAAGAAAAATTTATGTACAAGAGTTGACGCTATTGCATTTGGATAAAGCTGGCAAGTTCTTGCTACTAGCATAGCCCAGGAAACACCACCGAGGAAACCTAATATATTGGAATAGATGTTGTGCCCTGTTGATAAGGGAAAAGCAAAAAGATAAGTTAGTGTTGAAAAAAAATTTTAATGTTTTTAATAAGCTAGCCAACAAATTCTGAACTCACGTTTGGCCCACAGTTTGATAGCTCTCAGAGTTAACCTGAAGTTGTCAATGTTTGGTACTAGATGTAAAATTTCATCGGTTACCCTGCAACTATTAAGATTTCTTATGCATCTTATATCTAAGTTTTTAAGCAGACTGTCATCTCGTAGGCCCAAATCTTCTGGAATAGTCTGTAGTGCTAATCTTGCAAATAAAATGTCCATCTGTATCCCATCAAAACAGGGTTTTGGTACAAATGCCTGAATCTGTCTTACGGTCCTGGCAAAGATAGGGAAAACAAATGGAATTTAGGTTTGCCATTGTATATAGAATGTGACTTCCCAACACAGTGGCTGTTTCTTGAACTAAAATAGACTGGAGATTTTGGGTGGTACTGGTGACTGAGTACAAGGCCTTCGGCATGGCAGGCAAGCACTCTAAAACTGAGCACTCTATACTCTCAGCCCACACGCTAAAATTTGAATCTGAAACCAGCTGTAGAAATGTCATAGAAATAAGACTAAACTTCAGTGTCTACAATCAATTTTATTGTAATATAATCTAAAAACATACCATTTAGAAAATACCAAGAAAAATTTATGTACAAGAGTTGACGCTATTGCATTTGGATAAAGCTGGCAAGTTCTTGCTACTAGCATAGCCCAGGAAACACCACCGAGGAAACCTAATATATTGGAATAGATGTTGTGCCCTGTTGATAAGGGAAAAGCAAAAAGATAAGTTAGTGTTGAAAAAAAATTTTAATGTTTTTAATAAGCTAGCCAACAAATTCTGAACTCACGTTTGGCCCACAGTTTGATAGCTCTCAGAGTTAACCTGAAGTTGTCAATGTTTGGTACTAGATGTAAAATTTCATCGGTTACCCTGCAACCTGATTAACAGGAGTGAGAAAAACAAAACATTAAACCATCAAAACTTATCATGATGAGAACACTACATTTTCTAAGAATGACACCAAATTAAACAAAGACTATCTGATAGAATGAGATTAATGCTGATTCAATAGTTAAGATGAAATCTAAAGCAATTTACCATAAGCACTAACCTAAACCAAAACACATGCACTGTAATCTGCCTAATCTCATAACTAATAAATAAATAAACTCATAACTGAAATGTTTTCCTGTCTGGCTATGCTGAGCATTCAATCCACTTGCTTCTAACAGTTGTCAACAGAATTGGTAATGAGTTATCCTATTTTTTTTTTTAAAGAAAAAGCCCCTTTATATATGTCTGATAACATTACAAAAGAATTATCAAGAAAAAAACTATCAAGAGGAAAATTAATGAGAACTACACAGTAAAACTTCAATCGCTAGCAACAGAGTACAAATGTCAATAGTCTTTTTTAAGGATCCTGTGTACCACAACTAACAGAAAAGATTAAGGTGCCAATGAGGAAAATAAACTTCCAGACACTTCTCTGTAGTCTGCCAGGTGATGAATATTTTATTATAATCATTATGCATTAACAAAATGACTACAACATTACACAACATGAATTTTAAAATAAGTATTTAATATTTCATGAAAAACCCTCTGATTATGAAAAGGACGCAGGCTTTCAGACATACCATTAAGACTTCTTATGCATCTTATATCTAAGTTTTTAAGCAGACTGTCATCTCGTAGGTCCAAATCTTCTGGAATAGTCTGCAGTGCTAATCTTGCAAATAAAATATCAATCTAAAATAAAAACAAAACAGCATTCCATATCTGCCAAACTAATTTTAAAGTCTTTCTACCAAAAATAAAACATCCACCTAAAGGCAACACATTCTCACAAACTCTGGCCCTGGCGATGCTCTTGAGAAGCTCGCACTTCACTCACTGCTATCACTGTGTCTTAACCACATGGTGACGCATGGCAATATAAAATAGAGCTCCAACAAACACCCACATAGCATTTTAATGAGTTTGATTTACTGATTTTAACAAATGCATACACTGAATTCATTGAAGTTAATTTTTAGTTGCTCATCTTTATGAATTGTAAACTGAATGCATATTAAATGCATATTAAAAGGTGCCAAAATACAAAGCAGACATTCACATTTAGTTCAAAACACAGCTCTGTAGAAAGAGGTTTTCTTTTTTTAACACAGGACCTTAAAACCAGTAGGAAAATGAGGTATTATTTTATGTATTAATTAGATTGTTTTATATTTTAAAAGTGACTGTAAATCAACATTTGCAATTCTAATCTTTAATCAAATTTACCATTTTAGTCTATAATTAAGGCCAACAGTTTAAAAATTTTTTTTATTATTTTTATTTTATGTATGTGAGTGTATTGCTTGCACAGAGGCCAGAATAGGGCATTGGATCCCCTGGAACTGAAGTTATAGACAGTTGTTAGCTGCCATGTGGTTACTGGGATTCAAACCCAGGTCCACTGCAAGAACAGCCAGTGCTCTTAACCACTGAGCCATCTCTCCAGTCCCAACAGGTCAACTTCTCATAAAGAGACATCTTACATGGCAATTCTAGAAACTTTTTTTTTTTTTAACAAAACAGTTTATAATCTATTTTTCAGTGTCTCAATTTTTTTTGTTTATTTTTTGAGACAGGGTCTCCCTGTAGCCCCAGCTGGCCTGGAACTCACTATTAGATCAGGCTGGCCTTTATCTCACAGATATCCGCCTGCCTCCACCTCCTGAGTGCTGGGATTAAGGGCATGCATCACCATACTTGGCAGAATCGCTAATTTTATAAACCGCATCATTATCATCAGGGACTTTCCAATTTCCAGCACCATTTTTTTAAACTTTAGAAGTAACAAAAACTTAGACACACACACACACATACACACACACACACACACACACAAAACGCTTCAACACACACACTACCAGTGCAAGGTCCCAAGCTTTTAAATATATCATATAATGGGTTGATGGGGAAATACTACTTGTAAAAGCAGACTGCTCATGGCCTGAGACTAGAACATAAAATCTGCACATGATAAAACTACCAAGACTGGTCTGTGGGAGCACCCAGTCCTTACCAGCACCCAGTGCTTAAAAAGGACCTAATATACACATTCTATCATGAACAGGCACTTGCTCACATTAAAAGAATTCTTGGTATCCATTAACTCACTAATTACTATTGCACACCAAACTTTTATTACCTAATCAAAATTAATGCTACCCTATACTGAAAACTGTCCACCTGAACAAACCTTACCTCTATCCCATCAAAACAGAGTTTGATAACTGGTACAAATGCCTCTTCAACAGCCTGTAGGAAAAGTGAACAAGTTCAGTTCCTGAACTACACATGAAGTCTACATTCAATACTTTTACTACTTTTTTTATTTTTCAAGGCAGGGTTTCATGTAGCCCAGGCTGGCCTCAAACCCACCAACACGGCTGAGGATACCTTGAATTTCTTATTCTCCTGACTCTACCTCCCATGTGCTGGGATTACAGACATGCACTATGCTGGCTATGTTTACTGATTTTTTAAAATGTGACACTGAAATTGTTTCACTGTAACTTAGCCAAATGTCTGATACAAGTAAATTTTTAGCTACCTGCTTTAAGGCTCTAAGCCTTAGGGTTCAAAATCCTTCATTTTTGTCATGTGTTGGTAGATTATTATTTAGTCTCTATTCCTAACTTCTAAGGGATTTACAGAGTTATGACTCTAAGTTTGTGGTAAACTATAAAGGGCAAATACATGCTAAGTGTTTAGAATGACCTGGCAAATTACAACAGCTCAATGAAGGAATATCTACGTGCACCATAAATTTCACTCAAATGACTAAATAACATTTTTATAAGTCTCCTCTTTTGCCCCAAATATTTACATACTCTTAAGTCTTTTACTTCTTCCTGTAATTTCAACTTATCATAGAATGAGGTGAAAAAGTCACTTCGATCAACATGTCTTGGTGCAACACACAACGCATCAATATCAGCACCTAAAAAAAAAAATTAACCATCACTCAGTATTATAAGAAAATTATCTTGTATCACAATAGTATTTAATGTTAAAAATCCATTTAACATTATACTGGGCAAGCTCTCTAAAACTGTCCCCCTTAACAAATACTACCAGTCAAGAGGGGAAGGTAATGCTAACTGGTAGGGTATGGCTTTAATTCAAGCATACTACAGTCAGGTAGCTTAAGTAAACACGAAGTCCAAAGAGATGACCAAAGGCTCTCCTGGTGGGGAGAGGGCCCTGCTGAAGAGCAGCACCGCCAGTGTTTCCATGTCATTTGTCTCAGCTGTGCTCGTTAATTAAAAGGTTTCCCTTTACACATTTCCTCACTGGTGTTTACTGGCTCCCCTACTGAAAAGGAGGGTTAAAACTGAAAACTGGGATTGAGAGAGACAGAGACAGATATCTATGTGGAATTATTCATTTTTCTAAAAGATGAGAGACAGGGGTTCTACTCTGAAGACTACTGATCATATCCAAGAAAGTAAGCTGGGGCACTACAAGACACACAGGACAAACTCATCAAGAATAAACGTACTGGGACTGGAGAGATGGCTTAGTGGTTAAGAGCACTGGCTCCTCTTGCAGAGGACTGAGTTCGATTCCCAGCACCCACATGGCGGCTAACAACCATCCATATCTGGAGTTCCAGGGAAACTTGATGCTCTTCTGACCTCTGTGGACACTGTACAACACAGATGCACTTACATATACTCATACAAATAATAAAAAAAAAAAAAAAGTAAAATATTTTAATAAAAGAGTAATAAAATAAAATAGGCCAGACATTTAATAGTTTAAGAGCCTGGCCTACTCCACCTGCACCTTATCTACTGCTTCTGTCTGCCACTGTCTAAGTCTCTGACCCCTAATTGTGAGAATCTGAGAAATGACTTGAATAATAAATAAGATGCTTACTATTAAGAGCTTAGTTTTCTAAATAAAAATGTTCTTTGCCATGGCAACATTCTCTTTTTTAAAAAATTTACTTATTTTGACCCCTCTTCTCTAGCCCTGGATGGTGACATTCTTATCTCTATTTGTTGAGGAAACTACAGTGTGATTATCCCTGGCCATGAATATAGCTGCTTCTGTTACAATTTCTTTACAATTTGTCTATAATAAAGATATGAGGACAAGAAAATGGCAAGACTTTCTTAAAACCTTCATTCTTTTACCTTCTAACTTACAGGGATTATCCTCATGTGGAAAAAAAAAAAAAAAATGAAAAACAGAGACCACAACTGTCCCAGTAAAATGGAAATTGTTCTCCCACCACAGCAGCACCAGCCACGTGCCTATCCAGTCCTCACAACGTGGCCAAGTTTAATGGACCACTGAGCTGCTGCTACTTCACATGCTCTTACACCACAATGCATTCAGGTACGAAGACATCCTCAGACCTTTCTTCACAAACCTAGACTCCTGAGAGTATACTCACTTCCATGCTTGCCAAGCCTGTGTGTACGCTTCACAACACAATCACCATTTAGGAAAGAAATCTTATTAGCTCAAGATGAAAAAAATAATATTTACCTTTTGTATGTACTCCTAGTCTGTAAGATCCAAATGTAAAAATTTTTCCTCCAACATTTTCAATTACAGATTGTGGAAGATTCTGTTGAACAAAACAATGGTTGTCAGTAAAGCACCAAGGAAACAACTTTAAATGATACTACAACTTTATTCATTTATTTCTGGGGTATTTAAGTTTATTTTTTGTCGTTATTTGTTTTTGTTTTTGAGATAAGGTCTGATGTATAGACAGGCTGGCCTCAATGTCAAACACTTTCCTCAGCCTCACAAGTGATAGTTATAAAAATTTATTCTAAAAATGTACAGCCAATTTTGTAAGAGATGCATCCTAGCTCAGAAAACTGTTATTGAATATGTCAATGCTCTAAGTATATGTTTATTAAATAATTTTAAAAAACTTATTCTGGATACTGTACTCTAAACAAAAGAAAAAAAGAAGGCACAGTGGCACATACCTGAGCCCCAGCTACTTGGGAGCCAGGCCAGCGGAGGGAACATAACCAAACCTTATCTCGAAAAGGGGGGTGGGGGGTGGAGGGGGTGGCACTGAGGAACTAAAGAGAGAGATGGCTCAGCAATTAAGAGCACTGGCTGTTCTTACAGAGGATCCAGGTTCAGTTCCCCAGGACCCACATGGCAGCCAACAACTATTTCTAACTCCAGTTCTAGTATCTAATGTCCTCTTCTGACCTCCGTGGGCATTGCACAACACAGGTGCACTTACATACATGCAGGTCAATACACTCATACATATAAAATTTAAAAAAAGAAAAAAGAAACCAAACAAATCAAAGCAAGATTACAGTACAAATTTATAGAGAACGTCCAAACATTTACCTGTTAGTGTTGCCCTTTATCACTCACTCTAATCTGAAATTCAAACCATTTTTTGCCAATTTTCATAAAGAATTTTTGGTGAAGACCCAAATTGCTTGCAAGTGTTAACTTCTGGGACCCACTAAAAGGGATACTTGTGAGCCTGACTAATGCAGCAGGGAGTGACAGGAGACTCCGGCTCTTGTTCCGGAATATACCCCAGTAGCTCAAGTACTACACTGGGGCTTAAAGGCCCTGGTTATAAAGATCACCATGTACACTCAAACAGGACACTTGTTTTGTTTTTTGAGACAAGGTCTCCCTGTAGCCTCGGCTGGCCTGGATCTCACAGAAACACCCGTCTCTGCCTCCACAGTACTAAGACTAAACGTGTGCCACCACACCTGGGGAACAAATTAGAAAAGGAGGAGGGGGGTCCCTTCAATTGAGAAATCTTTTTTTTTTTAAGATTCATTTTATTTTTTAGTGTACATGTCTGTGTCATTGTGCAATGTCTACAGAGGGGACTGAATTCCCTGGAGCCTAAGTTACAGGTATGAGTCACGTGACGATGTGGGTGTTGGGAACTTCAGTCCTCTGGAAGAGTAACGAGCACCCTTAACTACCCAAGCCCTCTCTAAAGACCCACAAAATCATTTAAGTTCTAAGAATAGTAGATAGCAAACTAACCACTTTGGCAAAATTCCAATTCTAGGTATCTGTCCCCCCAAACATTAAAATTAATCTAACTATATAATAAATGAGTAGTTCTGGACAAGAAATAATTACTCCCACTGGGGAACATATGGCAATATCCAGAGCACTTTTTGGTTATCACAAGTGAAGGGATGAGGGTGAAAAGAGGGCACACATGGAACAGGAGAGGATGAGAGCAGCATAGCACATACAAAAATGATCTGGGCACTGAGCATGTAGCTGGGGCATGGTGTGTGACACTTGTAATCCTAATACCTGGGAGGCTGAGGCAGAAGTATCACTGAAAATCTGAGGCCAGCCTGAACTATATATGGAGACCATGCCTCAATAAACAAAAGAATTTCCATGCTCACGGATTGGGCAGAATACTGCGAACAGGGCTCTATTACCAAACAGTGGTCTACAGATTCAATGGAATCCCATGAAAATTCCAATTACACTCCTCACAGAATTAAAGGAAAAAAATTTTTTAAATGGAGGCACAAAAAATCCAGAAAAGGTTGAGCAATCCTAAACAGAAAGAGCCATGCCGGAGGCTTTATGATACCTGACTTCATGTTTAATAGAGCTAGCGAGAAAATAAACAGTACAGAACTGATGCTAAAAAAATAAAGCATGGGGTGTGGTGGCGCACGCCTTTAATCCCAGCACCTGGGAGGCAGAGGCAGGTGGATCTCTGTGAGTTCAAGGCCAGCTTGGTCTACATAGTGAATCCACGACAGCTGGGGCGCTACAGGGAGACCCTGGCTCAAAAAGACCAAAAAAATAAATAAAAAAATAAAGCAACAGAACTCAACAGAGGTCCCAGAAATAGATTCACACAGCTACATTCACTCCCCAACCCCGCACTTCAGTCTTTTTGAAGCAGGGTCTCCCTGTAGCCCCAGCTTGCCTGGAACTCACTATGTAGATTAGGCTGGCCTTGAACTCGAAGATCCGCCTGCCTCTGCCTCCCAAGTGCTCACCTTATTTTAATAGTTGCTGGTATCATATCAGAAAGGCGTATTATTGAACCAGTGCTGCCACAAAAACGAATGCTTTTGGGAATTCCAACTGTCCTTTCATAGACTTGCTAGTATTTATTTAGGTATGGATAGTAACCTATGGGAGGAACTTTGAACTAACTATGAATAACAAAAATAAACAAGAACACTATACTGGCAATAATAAATGGTACTGTCCTTAGTCTTCACGAAAAGGGACATTATGAAGCCCAGATGACAGGTCTGCCATCAATCCAAACACATGTAGATGGTCAGCCTCCTGGTTTGACAAAGGTGTCAAAAACAAAGATTGAAGAAAAAACAAGTCTCTTCAACAAACGGTGCTGGGAAAAGAGGGTAATCACATGTACAATAATGAACCTGGACCCCTTCTCACAGTGTGCAGGAACCAATCCAAAGGCCTTAACAGAATACCTCAAACTCTGAAACTGCCAGAAGAAAAGAGAATACTTCAAGATATAGGCATAAGCAAGGACTTTCTGAAAAGGACCATACAATGTACACATGGTTAAAAAATAACAAAGTTAAAATATTTTTAAATATCAAAACAACCCTTTATTTTATAAGCTTACTAAAATGAAAAATAAAGAGCCGGGTGGGGTAGCACACATCTTTAATCCCAGCACTCAGAAGGCAGAGGCAGAGGGATCCATCAGAGTGAAGCCAGTCTGGTCTACATGGTGAGTTCCAGGCTTGCCAGGGCTATAGACAGACCCTGCCTCAAAAAGAGCAAAAATATAAACATGATTAAGATGTTTTATATGAAATACACAAAAATTCAATAAAAAATATTTTTAAAGGGGCTGGAGAGATGGCTCAGCGGTTAAGAACACTGGTTGTTCTTGCAGAAGACGGGTTTGAATCCCAGCACCCACATGGCAGCTAACAGCTTATTAATTCCAGCCCCAGGGGAGCCAACAGCCTGTTCTGACCTCCACGGGCACTGCACGACACAGGTACACTTACCTACATGCAGGCAATAGACACACATAAATTAAAATTAAAAAAAAAAATTTTTAAAGACCAAAAATAAATAAATTAATGCTAAATTAAAAAATAAAAATAAAAAAGAATAAAGAGCTACTGGTTCAAGAAACTTCCCAAGTATCTGGAAGGGAAGGGGAAAAAAAATGCCAGTGATGCCAGGTATGGTGGCACATCCTATAATTTCAGCTCTGGCCTATATAATCCAAACACTCTAGAGCCCAGCCTGGGCTAATATGAAACCCTGTCTCAAAACACTGCCAGCAAGAGAGCGTTCTGGTTTCACAATTTAAAAAATTAGAAGTTCTAAACCAGGCATGGTGGCACAGGCCTTTAATCCCAGTACTCTGGAGGCAGACGTAGATCTCTGTGAGGTTGTCAAGACCAGCCTGGTCTACAGAGCGAGTTCCAGGCCAGCTGGAGCTACAGAGACCCTGTCAAAAAAAAAAAAAGAAAAGAAAAATAGATATAAAATAAAAACTAAGCAAATTTGAAAAAACAATTTTTAAAAAGTGTGCTTTGAGCCGGGCGTGGTGGCCCATGCCTGTAGTCCTAGCACTTGGAGGCAGAGGCAGGTGGATCTCTTTGAGTTCAAGGCTAGCCTGGTCTACGTAGTGAGTTAAGGCCAGCTGGGGCTACAGGGCGACCCTGTCTCAAAAAGATTTTTAAAAAAAAAGGGTGCTTTGTCTACTTAATGAGAGTTTTTTTAACTTAAGCATCTAGGAAAGGCTCTTAAAGCCAACTTATGTTTCCTAGACACAAATAATACAACTTCAATAAATGATTTTAAAATTCCCAGTTTAGACAACTTTTATTAAGCTCATAAAACTTACCTTTCCAAAACCTCACATTTTCTATCAAAAATTCTATTAGTAAGAAACACATGGGACAAAGACCTCCATTTAGAATATCCAGTTGCTCAATTTTTAATGAGTTAATACATATATTATGTTTAACATATTAATGTTTTATAAAAGCCAAATAACTAAACTAGCTAAAACCAAAGAACTTGGTTTTTCCCCCTAAGTTAATCATGCCTCTCCTTGTCTTAGGAGGTTTTCTTCTTCCCTTGGTTCTGTATCAATTTCTCAGCTGCATTTATAAACATGCATTTTCTATTATGGTGCAAAAATTACCAACATTTGAGGTATTTTTGAATATGGGTAAAGAATTCCACGAAGGTCTAAGAGCACACTCCTTACCAGAAGCCTACTCATGGATTCACTGTGTGAGTATTTACAGTAAAAGCAGTATGAGCCCAGACACTGTCATACACTGAATAAGAGAGTGTAGTAATGAAACACAAAAACCAAAAAACAAACCATTACAGGATTTCTTAAAAGTTAGTGAAGATTCTCTAGGGCTAGAGTAATGGCTCAGCAGCTAAAGAATATTGACTGCTCTCTCCAGAGGACCCAGGTTCAATTAAATATTTTTTTAAAAAGTTAGTTAAGGAGCTGGAGAGATGGCTCAGCGGTTAAAAGCACTGACTGCTCTTGTAGAGGACCAGGTTTGATTCCCAGCACCTACATGGCAGCTACAAACTGTCCTTAACTCCAGTTCCAGGGGAATCCAAAGCCCTCTTCTGAACTCCAAGGCATTGCATGACACGAGTGCACTCACATACATGTAGGCAATGCACTCATACACATAAAATTAAAATAAATGAAATATTAAAATAAAATAAAAAGTTAAGATTCTCAATTATGGTACGTGTGTGTGTATTGCTACAGACAAATTCAGTCCTGGAGCATGTTAAGAATATAATCAACATTTCCAACCACTTTTATTATTTGTTAGATACATGGGCTCATTATGTAGCCCAGGCTGGCCTGAAACTCAATCCTCCTTCCTCTACCTCATGAGTGCTTGGATTACCTCATCAGGGAAAGACTTCAATGAAGTAAGGAAGCAGGAAGCAGTTTACTAAGTCCAACTATGAACTGGTATAGCCAGAGAGCACTAATTAAAAAGGGGAAGAGGGATAGACATGGCTCAGTATTTAAAAGCATGCACTACTATGCACTACTCTTACAGAGGACATGAGGACCTGAGATTGATTCCTAGCACCTACTTTTTTTTTTTTTTGGTCTTTCTGAGACAGGGTCTCCCTGAAGCCCCAGCTGGCCTGGAGCATGCTGTGTAGACCAGGCTAGCCTTGAACTCACAGAGATCTGCCTGCCTCTGCCTCTCCTGGGATTAAACGTGTGTGCCACCAAGCTCCACTGATTCCCAGCACCTATATCAGGTGATCCACCACCTATAACTCCGAGGGCAACTGCACACATGTGTGCACACAAATACATATACATACACATCCACATACATACATATATATAGCATTAAAAAATAAAAAGCAAAAGGTAAGTATTTTTTAAAGCACTAAATTCAGTTTCTCTTTCTTACAAAATGACAAAAACATTGGCAACTGTTACCAGTAAACTAAAATGAACTTAGCATTAAAGAGTTTCAATCCATTCAAATATAAGGCAATTGCTGGGCTTAGTCAAGTCATATGAAAAACCATTGTGTATACAAAAAAGTCCCCTTACCTTGCTTTCACTGATTTCTCGTATCCACTCTTTCACCAAGTTATTTAATTTTCCCAAAATTAAAATCCTGTTGATAAAGCATTTTATCAAGTTGCCTATTATTCATTACGGATTAAATGGAAAACAGTTATAAATAAGTGGCTTCCTAATCTTTCCTTGTTTTTTGAGATGGTCTTCCTACACAGCCCAGACTGGCCTTGAACTCAAAATCCTCCTCCCTTAATCTCCCCAGTGCTGGGATTATAGGCATGTGGGATTATGATACCTGACTTTAAAAAAACAAACAAACAAACTTTTTTTTTTTTTGGGGGGGGGGGGTCTCACTATGCAGCCCTGGATGGCCTGAACTCAAAGCTCTTCTGCCTCTGTCTCTGGAAGGCTAAGGATTAAAGGCGTGCACCACCACAAACCGTCTCAAAATTCACTCTTTTTTTTTTTTTTTGTCTTTTTGAAGCAGGGTCTCCCTGTAGCCCCAGCTGTCCTGGAACTCACTATGTAGACCAGGGTGGCCTTGAACTCACAGAGATCCACCTGCCTCTGCCTCCCAAGTGTTGGGACTACAGGCGTGCGCCACCACGCCCGGCAAAAATTCACACTTTTTTTTAAGAGATCAGAACTTAAGGTAGTTATACACTGGCACTGCTACACTGCTTAAAGAATTTTCTTTTTTCCCAACAATCCTGGATTAAAACCAAAAGTCACCAGAAATTTCAAATGGGCTAAGGACAGCTCAGCACTTGACTAGAATGTGCAAGGCCCTCTGCTCAAGCCCCAGGAGTGTACACACTACCATCCATCCTTCCGCCCACAAAAGTTAAAATTTAGGGAACAAAACACTCTGTAGAAAAAAGTTCTCTCTACTAAGTATAGAAAAAAGTTCTCTCTACTAAGTATTTTGTCTGAAGCAAGCACACAGATTGAGTGACCTGTCCTACTAAGTAGAGAAAGTCTCCAATTAATTTCATTATAAACACAGCAAAATCAACATGTGCATCTATTTACCTGCGCTGCAATTCCTCTTCCTCTTCAAAAACCCCAAAGGGTTTCAGAGTTTCAATGAGCTTCTGTGTAAGCAGGCAGTCAGTCTCCTTGGGGGCTGCTAGGCTGATAGGAGAGGTGATGCCATAGTGCCTCTGCTGTGGCTGAGCTTGTTGTGATCCCTGCGTTGTAACTGGACTAAAAATGGAATTGGAAACATTTACTTTACTGCCAAAACCCACAAAGTGAAACTATTCAATATGACTAGAAAAACTACTTTAGTAATCTTTAAACAGCTGGTTCCTTGCCACAGCCCCCAAACTTGTGCTTTCTTCTGAGACTGGCTCTCAGTGCAGCCAGCTGGTCATAACTTGCCATCCTCCTGCTTCAACCTCCAGAATGCTAAGACTACAGGCAGGTGCCACCAGGCCCAGCTCCCAATTTTTACTTTCAAAAGACCTTTTGCTTCACAATAGAAAGTATCTGAAAGCAAGTGACCAAAAAGAAATTATTTCTCCTCTTTCCCCAAAAACTTTAACTTTTGTTAGTACACCCAGTATCAAAATAAGCCTAAGAACTCCGATCAAATATATTTCTAGAGAAAATGCAACACAGAAAAAAACTTCAGAAATTTGGGGGAGGGGAATCTTTTTAAGACAGGGTCTCCCTGTTGCCCCAGCTGGCCAGGCACTTGCTATGTAGACCTGGCTGGTCTCGATCTCAGAGAGATCTACCTGCCTCTGCCTCCCAAGTACTATGAGTTAGCAATTTAACAAAATCTTTTACATTGTTACTTTTTTTTTTGGTCTTTTTGAGACAGGGTCTCCCTGTAGCCCCAGCTGTCCTGGAACTCACTATGTAGACCAGGCTGTCCTTGAACTCACAGGGATCCATAAACTCACAGGGATCCCCCTGCCTCTGCCTCCCGAGTGCTGGGA